CTGTCATTGCTACTGCAGCACTAGGAGGAAGTAAAGTGCTAGTTAGCAGTTCCCTGACAGACTGAGGGATAACACATTCAACTTAAACTGTTATAGAGTAACATGAACACACTTCCAGTAGGCCTACATTTGATCCATTACCAGTGAGTACTCTATGGTGTCCTCAGACGGTAGCGAACCTAAGTTTGTCATTGGATGACCAGCTGTTCTTTACTGCTAACATCCTTGGGACAATCCCCTCCTGTAGATTCATCCTTCACAATATCAGAAGGATATGTCTGTTCCTCACCCAGGAGGTGGTTTCAGGTTCTGATCTAGGCTCTTGTCATCTAATGCCTTGACTACTGCAGCTTGCTTCTGGAAGGTGTGCCTGTAAACCTTCCTCTGCAGCTTATCCGTACTAATGCATAATGGGATAAGAATGCACACAGATGGAGAGGGAGAGGAGGAGAGAGGAGCTCAGTGCATCATCATCAAGTACAATAACTTGAGTTTAACATTAGAAAGTTGCAGGTCATCAAGGATTTTACAACCTGAAGGCACGCTTGAAGTTTAGCGAACTGATCATCTGATTCATCTGGGTTGATTAATAGATATAATTGGCATCATCATCTGCATAACAATTAAAGTTTATGGAGTGTTTCCTGATAATATTGCCTAAAGAAAGCATATACACTCACAAGCCACTTTATTAATTGCACCTGTTCAATTGCTTGTCAACACAAATCAGCCAAGCACATGCCAGCAACTCAATGCATTTAGGCTAATAGACGTGGTCAAGACAATTGCTGAAGTTCAAACCAAGCATCAGAAATGGGATTTAAGTGACTTTGAACATGACATAGTTGTTGGTGCCAGGCAGCTGGTCTGAGTATTTCAGAAACTGCTGATCTACTGGGATTTTCACGCAAAACCGTGAAAACTAGGGTTTACAGAGGATGGTCCGAAAAAAGAGAAAGGATCCAGTGATGTCAGATTTCAGAAGAGAATGGGCAGACTAGTCCCAGATGACAGAACTCAAATAACCACTTGTTACAACGAAGGTATGCAGAATACCATATCATGTCGAACCTTGAAGCAGATGGGCTACAGCACCAGAAAACCAATGTCACTCCTGTCAGCTAAGAACAGGAAACAGAGGCTACAATTTGCACAGGCTCACCAAAATTGGACAATAGAAGATTGGAAAAACATTGGTTGATGTGATGAGTCTCGATTTCAGCTGAGACATTCACATGCTAGGGTCAGAATTTGGCGTAACCAGCATGAAAGCATGGATCCATCTTGCCTCGTATCAACGGTTCAGGCTGGTGGTGGTTGTGTAATGGTGTGGGGGATATTTTCTTGGCACACTTTGGGTTCCTTGCTACAAAATGAGCACTGTTTAAACGTGACAGCCTACCTGAGTATTGTTGCTGACCATGTCCATCCCTTTATGACCACAGTGTACCCATCTTCTGAGGGCTACTTCCAGCAGGATAATGGACAATGTCACAAAGCTCAAATCATCTCAAACTGGTTTCTTGAACATGACAATGAGTTCATTGGACTCCAGTAGCCTCCACAGTCACCAGATCTCAATCCAATAGAGCACCTTTGGGATGTGGTGGAACAGGAGATGTGCACCCGACAAATCTGCTGCAACTGCGTGATGCTGTCATGTCAATATAGACCAAAGTCTCTGAGGAATGTTTCCAACACCTTGTTGAAAGAATGCCACGAAGAATTAAGGCAGTTCTGAAGGCAAAAGGGGGGTCCAACCCGGTACTAGCAAAAGGATTTTTCCAAGCACAGAACCTTGTGGAAGCACAGTCTCCTTTTGCCTGTCACGGTTGTCCAAACATTTCTGACCGACTTATTTAGGAACCAAGCACAGCTATGGTCCAATTTATGCGATAAGACAAGGTAAACATTCAAATGATGCAAATACAATTGTGAATTAAAGCTGCAAGCACATTTGGGCGGGCCCTCGCACATGTAGGGAGTGCCGCGGTCGTGGTAGATGCTGCCACTCTACTTCATGTGCTTGAAGGACGCCGTCTGTAGGACTTCACTTCCTGTGTCCCCTATGTGGTGCTAAAGAGCACCCGGTAACTATAGGTTATGTCCAAGTACGTCAGGTGTGGAACATGTTCCATAAATCAATATATAATATATAATATAATATAAATCATAGCGTTAGTTCAGGCAGGCAACAAAGTCAAGCTCAGCTCATTCCACCATATCAGCTGATAGCAGCCATCTTAAGTAGCTCTCTTAGCATTCATTGGAAAATTCCATACAAGGCGCCTATTTACGCTGCCACAGCCTACCTGCCTGCCCCCACTGCTTCCTACGCAAACAGTTTATATTGATGATGTCACTCCAGTGGCATCGATGACTTCACCCTTTGGCGGATTGCTGGGACATGCAGTTCAGTTCCTCCGGGGAGGGGTTCCATTCGTTCCCCTGCTGCCACAATATTTCCCTGAGCTGGGGAAGGTTCTAGTTAATATTTGATTGATTCAGGGGATAATTTATATTTTATTGATATTTGCAATAATTTAAAGTTACATTAATCACCTTAACATTAACATAGTTAGCTAGCTAACTAATACTAAATGCTACAAAGTAATGCTAAACGCTACAAGCTAATGCTAATGCTGTGAAGCTAATTTCTACGAAGCTAATGCAAATCTAATGCTAACACTAATGCTAACGCAACAAAGCTAATGTTTCAAAACTGAATGCTAACGCTACAAAGTAAATCCTAATGCTACAAAGCTAACGCTACAAAGCTCATGCTACAAACTACATGCTAATGACCCTTCCAGATAGGAAGTGATTTGCACTGCGATCACCGCGGCATGCGCGTGATCTTGCCAGTGCGCTATGCTTTGCTCATTGCAGCAACAAATTGCCTGCTGCAGCACAAGCCATTGGAAATAAGGGGTTTCATAGCACAGCAATGCCATTGTCGCTGTCTGTCTGAGAGGCCTATAACACTACAAAGCAATACTAACAGTACAAAGCCAAACACTGATGCTATGAAGCTAAAGCATAGACAACGTAAAACTTCCCTAAACCAAAACAAAATGCAAAGAAAAGAAAAAGCTCTAATCTAGACTTCTAATACAAAAAAACAGGAAAAAAGGTATTCAAACAAAAAAAAGTCTTCTCACTTCTACTAATACTGCTAATAACAAAAACAAAAAAACTACAAAAAAGAAAATGTATGTACAGCAAACAAATGGCTATGGCCAACAAATCAAGGTTGTCATAGACAATAATCAGAATCACTAAGATGCTGGTTAATCTACTCACAAAGACTAATATGCTCAATACATAGGTTTTTCTACTTACAAAGATTTGAATACACAATACACACAGGTTTTACATTGTGTGTGTGTGTGCATGGCTGCACACACACACACACACACACTAAGGGAGGAGAACAGCTGACAATGCAGGGTGATAGAGAAACAAATGACAAAATATGACCCCAGGGTCATAACACGTGTAGAGATTGGTGAAGATGTGAGCATGTAGACCAAGTTACAACAACTTCCTGTTTCATGGCGAATAATCAATTTTCTACGCTACAGGCACAGGCAAGCTGGTCGACTGGTAATAACCGTATAGAACTTTTAATCATCAGTGGGTTTAGACTGCACAGCGAGAATCTGATGTCGATGGGACTAATTCTCTAGGAGGAGTTTGTTAAAGTACGGAGCCTGTAAATTGTCAAAAATTACCATTAAATAAAAAATGGCTGACTTCCTGTTGGGTTTAGGCAATGGCTCCAAGAGGTTTTTTTTGTACATGTGGACATGATACATGTGCCACAGAAATTTCATACATGTAGGTGAAACGTGCTGCGGAGGCTGCTTCGTTGAAGGTCATTTCCTGTTGCCAACAGGTGGCGCTATGACTATGGGTGAATATTGGCATACATGTGTTCAGGGCAGGACTCTTATAAAACGTGTAAAATTTGTCAGTCAAGTTCCAACAACTTCCTGTGAGCTTAACCGCCACATCCACCGCCACACCATTTACTGCAAACTTTACAACATCTTTACACACCTCATCAATGTGTTAAGGGTTTTCTGGGACAGTTTTGAAGTTGATATATCCAACCTGCTAGGAGTAGTACATTACAGCGTAAAACGTGTAATTTCCTTGTGCCAGCAGGTGGCGTTATGACTGTGAGTGAATATTGAAACATGCCTTTGGTGTGAGAGACCAGGGTTCAAATCCACTGTAAGACAACAATGTGTCCCTGAGCAAGAATTGCTCCATGAGGCTTTTTTGTATGTCTGGACATGATACATGTACAACAGACACGTAGGTGAAACTTAGTCCCGGGGCTGCTCTGTAGGGGCGCTAGCGAGCCACTTTTCTACGCCCATGCGCAAACCCCAAAAAATACGGAAATTTTCGCGTTACCTGACGTGTGTGCAAAGGTTTGTGAGTTTTTGAGCATGTCTTCCGCCAAAAATTAGCTTATTTTTTATTTGAGCATGTAGACTAAAATTACAACAACATGTTGAATCATCGATTTCAGACACGCCGTTCCACAAGACTCACCGTTTGTACAACTACAAATTACAACTACAAAACGTGAAATTTCCTGTTGCCAGCAGGTGGCGCTATGACTTTGCTTGTCTTCCATGCAGCAGGAAAGTTGTACTGAGCTACCACATGTGACACCTCCATCTATTTATCTGAAGTAGTCTTAATTAAGTATGTGAAGAGGACTCATGACCAGGATGTACGTGTAATGAATTATATACATTACAGCAGCCTTGTACTAAATAGGCACAACTGTATACAGGAAAGGAGAAAACACATAGAAATCAGAGCTATGCCACAGGGAGACTGAAAAAGGGGGAGGTGTGAAAATTTGAATTTAAAAGAGCGAGTGAAGGAGACGCGAACAGGAAGAGAGAAAAAAACCTGTCTAGGAAATGAGAATACAAAAGCAGAAGTGCAAGTGGTTGGTGTTAAACAATGTCATGAGAGCGAGCGACTGAGGTGTGCAAGCAAGAATGACTATATAGACAACAGATATACTTTTTAGAGGGACGAGGGAGTTGATGAGAAGAAGCAGATTGTTAAAGAACAAGTGAAACTTGGATATTGACTACAGCTGAATATGGGGTGAGCAATTTTCTGATGACAGTGATAATATTAATCCACTCAAAATTAAGTTGTTTTTGATGATTTTCTAAATCATTTTGAATGTCTGACGCACGAATAACAGAAAATATGCAGGTCAGTACAGCTTCCTATCAACTCTAAACTTGACTATGCATACTTTACTTCTGATTATGTGTCCTACTATATGCGTGTGTCTGGAGCTCATAGCAGATGTTGTTACAGTTGACACACATAAAGTGAAACTATATATAAGAGTGTGTGTATTTGTTGTGGACAGAGCATATTATAAAATCCAAAACAGGTTAATGATTTTGAAAAGTAAGTGTATACTTACATATACTAAGTATATACTGACAGGTGAAATGATGTAGTCCATATTAGGCAGCATTGTACTGATCACAGGAAGTGGTCAAAACCTAAAAACCTTTTTGCCAGGAAGTAAAGATTTACTACAGACAGTGCAACAAGTAGACTGACAAATATCTCAGTGTCACAATGTAAAGTAAAGAAAGTTTCTGCAGTTCTGCTGCAAACGTACCTCTTATTAGTACATTTACTTATGTTCTGTTCGTAGGTACATTTTTAAACTACTTTTACTTTACTTGAGTGTTTCCATTCAGTTCTACTTTATATTTCTACTTCACTAATAATGTAAATAATCTACTATTCAACTTCACAGCATTTATTATAATTTTAGTCATATAATCTATAGTCACTTTCACACTGCAGTTTCAGATTTTAAAAATAAGATAAAGGAATAATCATCAAATTATAAAATGTATCCTTATTTATCACTGAGGGGCCTCTGTTTCACTACTTTTACTTTTGATACTTAAATCACATTTGACTAATAATACTTCCTTACTTTTACTTATGCATCATTTTGAATGCAAGACTTTCACTTGCAATAGAGTATTTCTATATATATTTGTGTATTATTATTTTTTACCTAAGTAAATGTTCTGATTACTGATGACAATTACAACACAATAGTGACTTATATGAATCCATATCTGATTGTTAAACTGTTGTCTTATCAAGACCATCAGAGTGGTGTTTTTGTTTCATAGCCAAAAGCATACCAGACCATGTTTTAAAAACATTGGCATTGGAAATATGTTTTTTTTCTGCTGAGCAGTCCAATATCGGCCTGCTTATTCTGTGCTTATCGCAACATACACTGAGTGAGAAATACGCAACTAAAAATCGTGATCAGAAATCTGTGTGGGATGTGCAGTCCAGAAACACAGCAGCAGTAGACACTCTATCTGCACTACTCCTACATCTCACACTACACACTTGCTCTTCACTTCCTTCCACATATGGTCTTTTCACGGCGTCAGAATCGCAATGAGCCTTATTACCAAGTAGGTTTACACATGCAAGGAATTTGCTTTGATGTTGATGCTTAACAATAAACAAGCAAGTTGAAAAATATGAGACAGACAAAGAGCAGGTTAAGTAATCAAATCTAAAAATATACAATTGACAATAAAATATGAGAAAAAAACAATAAAGGATATTAACTTACAGTGGGTGCAGAGATGTGCAAAATATTTACATTGTGCAAACTGTACATCTCTCTCTCCAACAGTGAGTCCAGTATCTGCCAGGTGAGGGCGACAGTCATGCTGTATGATGACACCAACAAACGTTGGGTGCCGGCAGGATCTGATACTCCTTCCTTCAGCCGTGTCCAAATCTATCACAACCCTGGGGCAAACACCTTCAGAGTGGTGGGCCGCAAACTACAGGCTGACCAGCAGGTACACCAATCTTGGAACCTAAGCAGCATTTCAATTTTAATCAAATTATTCCATTTTGATTGCACAGCCAAAATTCAATCCGATGAATTCTGTAGGAGCAGTTTGTTAAAGTACATATATATATAAAAGGCAAACACGGGCAGAAATTGCACTTTTAAATGAAAATGGCTGACTTCCTGCTGAGTTCCTGAGCGGCTGTGGCTCAGGAGTTAGAGCGGGTTGGCTGTTAATTGGAAGGTCGACCGTTAAATCCCCAGGTTGCATGTGGAAGTGTCCTTGGGCAAGATACTGAACCCCAAATTGCCCCTGGCGGCAGTTCGGCCAGTGTATGAATGTGTGTGAATGTTAGTTTCTGTTTGAGCACTTAGGCTCAGTGTATGAATGTGTGTGACTGGTGAATGCAGATGTACTTATTTACATAAGTTTACATAAGTGCATGTAATCAAATGCTGTTGCTAACGTATTTCTCTCGGTCCACGTTTATTTATTTATTTATTTTCATCTAACATCACCCTGGTATAACGTTAGTGCTGCATAATGCAATAGATCCGAACGTTATAAAAGCTTGGCTTTTATTTTAATATCTGTACTATTACTTCCGGGTCACCTGGCTCAACGGTCTTTCTTTTCTTAACGTCTATCTTCAACGGAAAATGAAAATAGGAATTTCATAAAACCAAAATCAGACCATTATTTGAATTTGGTATAGTCGTTTGTCTTTTTTTTATTTAGTAACCAAAAACGGGAGAACGGCTCTTTTTTTCCATTTCTTCATTTTTGGTTGAAAACGACATACGAAAAAAAGGTGGTTTTCTCGTTTGTTCAAACGAAAAAACAAACTATCAGAACGTACACAGACCGACGACCAATGTATGTTTTAACCGTTTGTTTTTTTGGTATAATTAACAAAGGCAAAAACGAGAAACAGGCCGTTTTTTGAATTTTGGTCCTAAAACGAAAAAACAACTTCAGCTTGATTTTTTGTTTTTTTAATCAAAACAAAAAAATCGAATTCAGCACAATGTCTCGTTTTTCATTACTACTGACAAAACTATTTTATTACTTAATATTTCCTTTACTTTCCTTTCTGTTATGTTTGTGCTTCAGGCTCCTCTTCAAAATTAAGGCTCTACCAAAGAATTTACATTATGCTGTAGCTCTCCCTCTTTGCCTGAAGACGATGCAATGTCTATACAAAAATATACTCTTAGTTTACAGTTTTTTAGTGAAAACTAATTACATAATGCAATAAATCCCCCTTAATGATTAAGAGATTTATGAGAGGTGGTGATTCAACTGTACGATCAGTAGTTTGTGGTGCTGTTAAACCGTAGCGAATAAAACAAAAAGGTGTTTCTGTTATTTAGTCTATCTTCAAAGATTAAGGCTAATTTTAGTAAATACTGTGGACAATAAAGAGTTCTAAGTATTATACAGATCGAACTGAATCTCATTGAATCAACAGCAAGCACACGAAAAGGATTTACAGAAAATGACCAGCAGGTGTCGCACTGCACCTCCCTCAGCTGTGATCACCTGGAGCCACTTGAGAGAACAGCTCCACTGAGTTAATTCTGCAGTGTTTAAAGATTCATCACACCTGATATGGTCTAGTTATGCTTAGTTTTATGTCTTCTCAAGACTGCCTACATTTGAACAAATCCCTGAGTAAGAGAAAGAGGTTTTGTACCTTTGTAGCTACTGATTATCATTTGGCATAATTAGCCTCTATCATCCACACCGTACCTGATGTGATTTTGAAAAATAGCCTTGATGGCAGATGCAAGCCTATAAGACTAAATAACCATATCATATTTTATTATTCATTACTATTGCCCAGGTTTTATCGAATTTGCAAATGAAACAGCTACTTTGTGGAAACGCGATGAACATAAAGCCAAAAAAAAAAGAATAGAATGTGATAAAATATGATCTCCTCCACTGCATGAGACTACTGTCTGTGAGCGTGCGCATTATCATGATGGAGAGCCCAAATGCCAGTTCAAGTCATTTGATGTAGCCTCAGCGTCAGACACAGAACGTTACAGTACAACTCAGACGGTCTGACCAGGTCCAGCGGCAGGCTGAAGTGACTGAGAGGGCAGTTAAAAATGGCGAGGGGGCAAATCTTTTTGCTAGTTTGACGGCAGAAAAAAAATGGTCTGTGCGCCGGGCGCATGGTTCAAAAGGGTCGTCTGTGAATTAGTCCTGGGTGTGTACGGCATAACATGCAATACACTAATCTGTGTCATTTCCCCTTTAAAGCCAGGTGCGCTTGTACTTTAGTGCATTGCAATTATAATAGCGTATGAATGGCGCATTATGAAAACACCAGTTGACTGATTGAACTGCAGACTCACGGCAGAGATGGAATATGGAGAGCAGTGTGGACGTGATATAAAAACCATCTGTGATCATGAAGCCTGTGTTACTCTGCTGCTCTGTAGTTTGTCAGTGAAGAGTCGGAACTCCAGTCTGTTAAGAGACGCTGTCTTCTCTGTGAAACGTCTGGATCCTCACTGCGCTGCGTTAATATAAACTCTGATAACCGGTTGTGGGTCACATTTCTCCCCTACAGAGGTTTCTTTATTTTGTGTTTTATTGATGTATGAGTGTTTTTTTTTACAATTTACTTTCATGCTTAGAGATGCCGCTGTCAGTCATTTTAAATATCATGTGTGCAATAAAGTCACAACAAATATCCTGGGGTATTTGAGCAGTAAAAAAGTAAAAACCTTAAGTTTTATAACTTAAGGTTTTTACTTTTTTCATGTCATGTCAAGTTTATACTTGACATGACAGGACAGAGGAAACTCTCCAGAGGAAACAGAATTCAACTTTTAGCTTTTGAAATCACTGAGACGCTCTGATGGAGCACAGAACTGATCAGGAGGATGGCTGCTTTACTCCAAACAGTTTCACTGGATGAACCTGGACTGTGTGTGAGACCTTTTGAATGTGTAAAAGATCAAAGAACATCAATTAACATTAGATCCTGACCGATCCTGCCAGCGTGTCAGGAGATTTTAATAATTAATGTAGTTACGCTGCTGTGCCTCGTGCGTAAATGCACACTGTATCACAGTAATGCGCCCCTACAATAACAATGTTTGAAATGACTGCTTTCTCTATAGTCCCCTATAGTCTCAGTCTTTATCTTGGCAGTGACACCTCTTAAAGTGGGTGGTAGCCTAGGCTACATAACACACTCTTAGGAAAAGTCAAAGACTTGAATATTGTATAGAAAAAACAGGCCTAGGCTACAATCGAAAAAACAGCAGCAGGTAAATTTTGCTTGTTGGTGGATCTAGACTTGGGGGGGCAGAGTGAATACAACTGAGGGGCAAAGCCCCCTCCTGCCCCCTTGTGGCCCATGTCTGACCAGGGCTGGACTGCTAATCTGGCATACCGGGCAAATGCCCGGTGGGGCGATGCACCTTTGGGGCCGGTGTAACGTAATTTTTATCGGCCCATAAAGCATGGACAGCGGCCCACTGGGTAATTTTCTATACTGACACATCTCTTACTAGCCCCCACGCCCTCTGCTCTCTGTTTCTGGCGTTACGCCAGATGGCTACCGCCAAAGGTGCGAAAACAACCAATATGTTTGCTACCGGGGCTGCGGTAGTTTTAACATCAGCTGTGGTAGCTGACGTGGTCATCTCCTGCTGGCAACAGGAAATAACTACGTTGATGCTGTGATGAACCACTTCTTGCAGTTTGGCTATATCTATATCTACTTTAAAACTTTCTCAGAAAACTCCAATGATGTCATGTTTAAAGCGTGTGAGTTTTCCTTCAATGCCATATCCTTGGCGGAGTGGCCGTAAGTGTACATGCTCACATCTGCACCAAACTTAGCGTGCTTTATAACTGTCCCGCCACCAACACATCTACACGCCAATATCCACTTGTAGTCATAGTGCCAAGTCCTCTGCAGCGCCACAAAGGGGACACAGGAAGCGCATAGCAAATTCATAGCCGCACCGGCAGAACTCCAGAATTACACCTCAACACGTTACAAGTGCGAGGGCCCTCCCAACGCTGCTTGCAGCTTTAGTTTTATAATAATGCGTTTTGGATTAAATATTTTACAGGATTGGATTGTCTGGCCGTTGGCCAACGTAACAAGGCCAGTTTTGTTGGAATGTAGTCCATCAGTGGGCAGTTCACAGATTAGTGGTGTGAATTTTGATTATAGGCAGTGCTTGAAGTGGGCTGCCGGTACCAGTAGGTCTACATTTTACTGTTTGGCGTACTGGGAATTTTCTTGCATACCGGCACCTGCCCTCTCCATATCAGGTTCTCTAGGCACTACGTGACGCTCACCTGTTCCCGTTGTCACCTGGGGCCGTATTACAGAAAGTTCCTTTCTTAAGTCTTAAGTTAAGATAGGAAGAGTCTAAGATAGGATTTTTCCCAATTTGTTGTTAAAGAAGAAGATCTAACTTTAGGAATCCTATCTTATCTTATTTCATCCTGTCTAATACTCAATCCATTGGTTATCAACTTTTATGTCTGTTACCTAGCAACCAATGCCACTTTTCTCATCTCGCGAGCTAAACGGCTTTTAGTCGCTATTTTTTGGTCGTTTGTTTAATGTAACATGCACTGAAAATTTAGCAGAAACAACAACTATCACTGAACTTCAAGTCAGATGACTTAGAGGTGTTGGTAACCTCTGTCGAGAAATCAAATTCACGTAACGCTTAACTGGGGAGATTAAAGAAAGAGAGTGTGCCAAAATAGCGGACACAGTCTCTGCTTTATATTCGGCATCCAGTCGAGCGTTGATGCTGTCAAGAAGAAAATAAGTCCACTGACAAGTGATACATAGAGAAAGGAAACTCTTGTGTCCAAAGAGCAGATGAATCCCGGTGGTGGCTCCTCGTGTGCTCCCTCACTGACCCCGGAAGAAACCTATAGCTACTCTCCTCGGGAAAGTTAATAATGAAAGTAAAAAAAAAGTTCTAATAATATTAAAGCTGCAAGCAGCGTTA